GGGGAAATAACCAAGCAGCTTGGGGAAAAAAGGTCCAATGCTGGAGTGATAATTAGAAAATGGAAGAAGCTAAAAATGACTGTAAATCTCCCTTGGACTCGGCTCCATGCAAGATCTCACCTGGTGGGGTATAAATGATCCTAACAAAGGTAAGAAATCAGCCCAAAACTACACGGGAGGAGCTGGTCAATGACCTGAAAAGGACTGGGAATCATGTTTCCATGGTTACTGTTGGAAATACGCTAAGAGTGGTTTGAATTACATGCATGGCACGGAAGGGTCGTCTGCTTAAACCAGCACTTATCAAGGTCCGTCCTAAGTTTGCTATTTGAATGATCCAGAGGAATCATGCGAGAAAGTAATGAGGTCAGAAGAGACCAAAATAGAACTTTGATCATAATTCCACTCACCGTGTTTGGAGGAAGAAGAATATGTCATAAAAGGGAACAGATGGGCCCAGTATTCAAAGTGAGACAGTCAGTAGCAAAGATCAAAATGTTTATTGGAATATTCTAACTGAAACTGAACAGTAGCGGGCTGCTGTGAACCTGCGGATCGCAGAGACTGCTGAAGGGTGGCGGGGCACCACCCAATCACTGACCCTCTGGAGGGGCAAACACAGGTAAGTGACTGCGATCTTCTGACAGGAGATGATTATCAAAGTTAGTCACTTACCTGGTTTAACAGTTCAGTGCATCCCCTCAATTATAGGTAGGATCAGCCAATGCACATGCCATTGAGATATGGCTCTGAGCCGTCCGAAGCGTCCCCGATGCAGCAACACCAGTGAACAGGCAGGACTCCGATCCAGGTTACAATCCACACAGGAACGGACAGATCCAGGTTTCAGGAACCCACAGAGCATAAAGGCAGGTTCAGAGTCCCGTGCGTCGGGCAACCAGCTCGGACAGAAACGCACCAAGGAAGACTGGCAGAATCAAACAGGAGTCCAAAGGTCGTTCAGGCAAACAGATCAGATGGAACGAACAGGACCAGTGGGTGAGAGGGAACAGAATCAGGTAATCAGAAACCAGTAAGGAAATGCTGAAGGCTAGTGAATAAACTCAGCAGAAGACACTGGCTTGAGAACAATCTCCTCACTGGAACAGGAACATGAACCTAACTAAAACTAACGAAAACAGAACCTAAAGACAAACAGAAAACAAACAAACAAGAATCTGCTCTGATAGCTGGACTGATCTGAATATAAAGCAGAAACACAGGTGGATAGAATGAGTTAAGCAGGTGAATGAAATGAACAATTAAGGTGTGCTATCAGGGCAGATCATGACATGATGAGAACCATCCCAAAAAACATCATCCCTACTGTGAAGCATGGGGTTGGTAGCAACATGCTGTGGGGTAGTTTTTTCTTCATATAGGAAAGGGCGACTGCACTGTATTAAGGAGAGGTGGTCTTGCCAGATTTTGGGGAACGACCTCCTTCTCTCAGTTAGACAATTGAAGATGGGTGGAGGCTGGATCTACCAACATGACAACGACCCAAAGCACACAGCCAGGATAACCAAGGAGTGGCTCTCAAAGAAGCATATCAAGGTTCTGGCGTCTCCACACCTAAACCCAACAGAGAATCTTTGGAGGGAGCTCAAACTCTGACTGATCTGGAGAAGATCTGTGTGGAGGAATGGGCCAAAATCCCTCCTGCAGTGTGTGTAAACCTGGTGAAAAACTACAGGAAACGTTTGACCTCTGTAATTACAAACAAAGGCGACTGTACCAAATATTAACATTGATCTTCTCAGGTGTTCAATACTTATTTGCTGCTGCATCACAGTGGACATGCGCCTATGATGACAATTTCAGACCCCTCCATGATTTATTGGTGCAAGAACTTGCAAAATAGCAGGGTGTTCAGATCAGACGTGGGCAATGTGGAGTCAACAAGTCATCTCCATGTCATATATTTGTTCTACCCAGCCACTGCAGAAGGTGAGTCCAATCTTCACCGTGAATTAACCTGTGCAGATTGGACTCACCTGGTTAATTGGCTGGGTAGATTAAATACATAACATGGAGATGACTTGTTGACTCCACATTGCCCATGTCTGGTTCAGATACTTATTTTCCTCACTGTACGTATATATGTAGTATATAGCAGTGTGAGTATATAAAATATATAAATATAAAAAAAAATAAAACTCTTCATCACCAACCGCAGGTGGTCTTCTCCCCCCTTTTTCCTCAAAGCTGGGGTCCTCTACCAGAGGCCTGGGAGCTTGAGGGTACTGCCAGTATCTTTGCTGTTCCTAGAACTGCGTCCTTCTGGACCGAGATTTCTGATGTATTTCCAAGGATCTGCTGTAACCACTCCACCAATTTGGGTGTCTCTGCCCCGAGGGTCCCAATGGCCACGGGTTCCACTGATGCCTTGACCTTCCAGGTTTTCTCCAGCTCTTCTCTGAGCCCCTGGTATTTCTCCAGTTTTTCATGTTAATTTTTCCTGATGTTGCAGTTTCTTGGTATTGCTACAGTATGTCAACCACAATGGCTTTCCTCTGCTTTTTGTGCACCAGCACAATGTCCGGTTGGTTTGCCGTTACCATCAGGATCTCGGCTCGGTCATTCTCTACCACCTTTGGAGGTGTTTCCCACTTGACCTTGGGGTTTCCAGCCCATACTCTGCACAGATGTTCCTGTACACTATTCCAGCCAATTGGTTATGGCGCTCCCTGTAAGCTTTCCCTGCCACCATCTTGCACCCTGCAGTTATGTGCTGGATTGTCTCAAGGGCCTCTTTACACAGTCTGCACCTGGGGTATTGTCTGTTGTGGTAGATCTGGGCCTCTATGTCACGGTTTTGGTTATATTGCTCTATGTGCTCTATGTTCCCTAGTTTTATTGGTTTAATTCCTTTTTTGCTGTAATTTCTAGATTTGTTAGTTCTCATATTTTTCTGTTGTCCTCTGTAGCCCTCTTGTGTGTGTGTGTGTTTTCCTTTCCCCTTGGCTCCCTCGTTGTCTCCTCTCACACCTGCTCCTTGTCAGCTCGTTAGCCCTCCCTTTGTCTCTGTCAGCTATATATGCTCTCCCTCTTTGTTGGTTTCTCTGTTGTTGCTGGTCCTGTCTTCTCTGTAGTCGTCTCCCCTCGTCTCTCCCTGGCTCCTTGTACGTGTTTTCCCTTGATGTCTCCATGATGTCTGTTACATTTTTAGTTGGATTTTTGGACTGCCTTTGTTTACCATTTTGATTAAAACTACAAGTACTCACCTACATTCAGCGCACCTTAGACCTTAGAGAAGGCGCGCTCGATTTGCTTACCCAATTGTCCAGGAATGATATTAATATTATTAATAAGTATTTCGTGCGCACATTAAACTTATTGCGTGGCCACGAAGTAGTATTTTGTGCGCACGAAATACTACTTCGTGGCCACAATTAAAATTTTTTTTTGACCATGTCATCAGAGAAGAAAAAAAAAGGAACTATGAACTAGTTCATTTTTTGGAACTGTGAACTTAGTTCAAAATTTTGAACTATGAACTGAACTAGTTCATTTTAAAATGTGTGAACTGAACTTTGAACTAGTTCACGTAGAAAGAGAACTTTCCCAGCACTGGCCTCTGTGCTGTCCTTCAGTCCGGCTTCGTCTGGCAATAAAGGGACTTTCTATTCTATTCTATTCTATTCTATTCTATTCTATTCTATTCTATTCTATTCTATTCTATTCT